TGGATGGATGGATGGATGGACTTCTTGAGTTCTCAACCACCCAAATAAAATGTACTTTCAGAAATATTTTGCCTTTTGAAATTCTGTGTATAAATAGCAGTCTTGATCTCAATATTTCAGGATCCTAAACACTGACACGTTTAGAAGCTCTCAAGAACATCAACTGCAGGATAAAATATAATTTTAGCCTCATGTCCAGTTATGGTCAGGACCTTCAGCAAAGCCTTGAGAGCAGTGAAATGTGTTAAATGTGTATGAAAAGTCAGATTCCAGTTACAACAAAGAGGTTTAAATGTACAGTATTCAACTAATGCTCTACCTTTTTGTCTGTCATGGTCCCATCAGGGTTGAGTCTAAAGCTCCCTACATTAATGGTCATCTTTGGGTCCACCTGACTGATTGAGTAGTTCAGCTCATCCACAATCGCCTTACAAGCTGGGGGGAAAAAAAACAAAGAAAAAAAACAGGAAGACAGAATTACAGTTTGAGCTAATGGCAATTAACATGAAAAAAATAATCTCTTATTCGGACCAATATCTTGTTTTAAATTTCTAAGAATATTTTATGCAGAGCTAGGTCATGATTTTATTAATTATAAAAGACTGCTGGTGAGAGAATCTGCCATTTGATCCAGGTGTGTTGGAGAATCACACCTGGAAACAGGGCTGCCCAAGTGCAGTCCTTGAGAGTTACCTTTCTGGAACTTTTAGATGCATCCCAATGCACATCAATCAAAGAAAGCAATTCAAGGACTGGACTTGGGCAGCCTTGATCTAAAAGTTACAGGAAGGACAACCGTTTTTTAAGACTGGGCATCACTGTTGTAGAAGATCTATATACAACAGAAATGCAGTGACCTGCACTAGAGTCCAGGCCCCCAGTGCAGGTACCCTGCATCTTTTAGATGTGTCTTTTGGCCCAACACACCTAATTCAGAGGTGATTCAGTGGCTGAATCACCACATCAGTATTAGCCCTGCTAATATACGGATTATTTGACTGAGATGTTTTGTATCAGAGACGCATCTAAATTTGCAGGACACCAGTCCCCAAGATGTGGAGTTGCAGACCCCTGATCTACATCTTTCTACAAACACCAAAAGATCTAAACTTCCTCAAGAACTACAGCCTGCTTTGTCACATTTTGTAAGACAGCTTCACTGTTGGATCTCCATTTCGGTTTGTTGTTCAAGTGAACACTGAAGTATTTACAAAGATTGTTAAAGTTTGCGGTGTGATGGTTGGACTACAACAGCTTTTGTGGCATCAGAATCACGTCATCACAGTTTTGGAGTGAACGGTAAGAATGAGAGAGACAGAGAGAAAGAGAGCGAGAGATAAAGAGAGCGCGAGAGATTCCTCGGATAATCGTAAAAATATTCTATAGAGTACTCGATTACTAAAATATTCTTTTACAACAGCCCTAGTAACAAGTCTTCCACAGTGATTGAAACTTTTCCGGGGTGAGAAAAGATGGAAGATGTGATTTAGAATCCCACATAGCTGTTTTATACAGGCCTTTTGGACTGGCTGACATAATGTGGAACTGTACTGTGGCTTTGTTCCTGTTCCCTGAGCTGCCTCTTCCTCTGACCTCTGGAGACAGGAAAGTGGGACGGGGAGAAAATGGGAGCACCAGCATCGCATGATTTTGTTAAATAATGTGACAAAGCCGAAGGAGCATCCATGACAAAGGTAGATGAAATATTTCAGGTGTGACAGAAAAGGCTGGTGGGCGATCTGTTTGGGGATATGGGACACTTATGCTTGAAACCTATGACCACACATATCTTTCAATCTTCTGCTGGAGCATAATCTCCAGCTTCTTCCTGTAGGCCTAATTGCTGTCTCTAATCTTGACTATAGGAAGCTGCTGTATACTCCTTAATAATTCAATGCAACCTTCCCTCAAGGCTGTTTTTAAAAAGTTCTTCTTCGAATTACTGGCAATCCAGAGTTTGATTCTTGGAAAATAACTTACTGTAGTGTTGGAAATTGTGTTGTTTACACAAAACTTCAGTCAGTCACACACTCAGTCATAACCTCCTACCTCTTTGATGCCAATACCTGATGCAGGATTTAATTGCCAACATGTTAAATCTCACAGAAAGTAGTGGGGGAGGGGCGCATTGCGTTATTGCTTCTTACCGGAACAGTAGAGGACTTTGTCCCTCTTGCTTTGGCTGCAGCTGATGAAGGTCAACAGCACCATCACATACATATGAAATATCCATGATGCCATAGTGATGCCCTGGCAATAAAAAACATGATTAGAGAAAAGGGCCTGGAGCTTCATAATGATTGCTAAGATGCTGGTCTTAGTTTGTGACCATTGAATTAGTAAAGCAGATTTCGTAAATGTTAAGTTTTTATCATTCCCTAACATTGATTTAGATCAGAGGTCTCATTCTCGCAGCCCGCAGGACAATGTCTCATGGCCCCCACCGTGATATGAAAGTATAACATTAGTGCGGCCCACAGGGTGAGCGAACCTCTGAAGGAAGTCCCGCCTGCCGTTCCTCGTCGTGGCTGACATTCGGTGCTAGGCTAAGCTACACTGACTTCATGCACACTACGCTTGTAACAATAGTGCGGCGGATGATGGAACAGTCCGGTACCAGTTGCCTTTTTTTGCAGTCGCCATTCCGGTACTTTCTACCATTAACAAATGCCACGATCAAACGCAGAGAAAGGCGACAGTTACTGGGCTGCTCGTCATCCGCCGCGCTGTTGTGACAAGTAGAAGCGGTAATGAAAAGAAATTTGAAAGGCTACTAAATGTAATAATTATTATGGGCAGGTTTTTCATTCACAAATGTCGTTTTCTTAAAGCCAAACCATCTTTCCCCACTTTTCACAAGGAACTCTGCCACCTCTTATCTCTAAAATTCATGGAAAAACATCAAGATGCAGAATTGTATATGATAAACAATCTGAAACTGTTGGAAAACCCCTAATGGCTTTTTTTTCTGTTTGTTTTTGTTTTTGTTTGTTTTGCTTTGCTCTTTCGCTTCTTCTGTATGTATGGAAGCAGCCTGGGTCGGCTTCTTCAGGTTCTTCAGATTTGTATACATCTGATGCCGAAACCATGTTTGTTCTATATGATGATGATGATAATTTTAAAAAGTAGAAGCGGTAATGACATCACGCGTCGAGACGTTTGCTAGCTGGCTAAAGACTTCTATAAAATGTAGAACAAGAGCGACGCCAAGTAGAATAAACTTAGAGTGCGTTCACACTGCAGCCTAAAGTGACCCGATTCCGATTTTTTTTATAGGTAATGCGACCTGTATCTGATCTTTTCATGACAGTCTGAACAGCACAGGTCGGATTCTTTTCGAATGCGACCCATTTCCGATATGTATCCAATTCAAATGCGACCTAACGTCCAGGCCGCTTTCAACTGAACTGTACGTCACTGATACTCAACAAATTCTGCGTCCTGATACGCGCAAGTGGGAAGAACAACAAGTATCACGGACTATAATGAGGATTAAGTTGTTAATATGGACAACAACTTCAAATATGCAAGCTAAGCTCCACCGTTAGCCTCCATGTTTACTTCTGATATTTTATTTTATTTCTAAAATAAAATATCATTTTATTTTAGATACATCTTTACAATAAAAAATAATTAAATAAAAAGACGCATAGAAATATTTTTTTATATATTATTAATCTGCTCAACCATGTATCAATCCGATTCAAAAATACTTTTTAAAAAATGTCCTTGTTCATGTAACTATGATAGCTGTTTGAATACAGTTTCCAGCAAAAAATGTGAAAATCTGTTTAATATTTAATGAGCTATTATTAATTAAATTCACTGATATTTCGTTGATGTGCTGATACTTCTCAGTCAATCACTGTGCCATACCAGTGACTGTTTTTGAACTAAATCTAACCGTAAACTATTTAAATAGCTTAATAATAAGCCAGCAAAAAAAATGCTGCTGCTAGTCTGAAGGAGTTGAGTGTGCCGATTTATCTTTCACCCAATACCTTGGTGGCCGTTTTTATAACATGTGACTGGTATAAACATAATAGTGTTTATGTGGAAAGGTAAAGACATGAACCTAAACATCAAACAACATCCGCAGATCTGTTGAATATGCGAGATCACAGACTATTGATTAAATTATATGGAGTAAAATTTTATTAATGAAGAAAAGGACAGATTATTTATCTCAAAAAGTTATCTTTGGGGAAAACAATAGTTTCCTCAGGGAAGTAAACTCCTCCCGCTCCGCTTCGTCATGCTTCTTCCCGGATTATCGCCCGGCTGATTGGTAAGGAATGCGCCTCTTGACTCAGGTGTTTCCTTGGACTCACTTATAGACTTCATCTTTTTTATTATATCCGCACTCTGCACTGTAACAGTTGTTGTTTTGTTTGTTTGTTTGTTTTTGGCAAATAAACGCTAAATTATTCTTACATGTTCATTCTGTAAATTTCTCTTTTTTTTGAGACTGGTACAGGTTTTAAGCTGCGAACTTTAGCTGAAGTGAACTAAAAATGAGATCCCTTGTGGTGAAATCGGGTTGCTTCAAAAGCATAGCATAAGCCGAACTCTAGGCTGCTTTAACTCAAACTGTAAAATATTGTACTATTGTGTGGCAGGTGGAAGAAGCGTTGCTGATACAGAATATCCATCTAAATGACCTGGTTTCTTTGCGGAGCTCGGCGCAGTATTAGATATGGCTGCTCTTACCTGACCAGAGAACCAACCAGCAGCTTCCAGCGGATGGGCTGTAACTCCGACTCACAACACAAACGGTCCCAGTTTCAGTTTCTACTGTCAGCCTTCCTGTACATGCTTCCATGAACTTAAGCTACACGTTAGCCTCTGGAGAACTCACACTAGCATAAAGCGTTTAATGTTCTGGTGATGTATTTCAAAGTAAAGTTTCTCTATCCTAAATCATCTCTTTCCGGCATGACACTACATATTCCTCACGCATACATAAGAGAACAACACTAGTTACTTGTAAAGATTTGCATTACAGTTCTCCAATGAGATGTATTTTCTTTTTAAATGCGAGGTGGGCTTTTATTTTGACCTCACTTCCGTTCTCATTTCACCGCGTTTATTCCAATTGACTTGTGGCATTTACGTACGTGCCACACTGTAGAGAAGCCACGTTCATCCGAGCATCCAATCATATTTCAAAGTTTGATCATACACCTTCAGACTCATAGTATGTTTGGATTTACTTAAATGAGACATGCTTATCTATTTTCATAATTTATTTCAGGATCTGTTTTTCTTTTTCCCAATAAACAAGAACAGTACCAAAGCTTTCAATATCTTTAGTGCTACTTTTGCAGATCATTTTGTTCATAATATTTGGTGCTTTGCTACTTACATTTTTTTCTGTAGGGCTTTATTTTGGAAAGTGTTGAATTTCCATACCCTGACTTATAAAAAAAGAGTTTAAGTTTTATCAGATGACAGTCCTCAAGTGTATGGAAATAAGACATCTTATGGAAAATAAGCCACATTTTGTCATGTCCCATGTCCTCTTGCTCTCGGGGAAGGCTCTGTTTTTGTCCTGCCTTTTTCTATATTTTTTGCGGGGACACATCCAGCGGGATTCACCCTGGATTTATTCATGACAGAATTTCTGCTTGCGGATACCTGACTTACTTGGACAGAGACGCAAATCGGAGTTTTACTGACAGTCGCAGTAAAACAATATCAGGTTATAATTTATTCCATATTGTACAAATGTGGATGTGTAACAATAAAGGAAAAGTCCCCGAGTACTTTATATAGTAGGCTGCCCCAGTCATTGTTTGACTCACGGTGTTGGTGTTGCGATATTGTGCCCAACTGCTTTCTGGGTAACACACACTAACCGACACGCTGCCGCCGCAGACATTCTGTATCTGAATTGGCTTTCCCCATGTTGCCTTGGAAAGGCTGCATATTTCTAATCTCCTTGAAGATATCTAAACATAACGCTCCTTCCCACCTCACCTCCTCCTGTATCCACAAAGCTGTGGAGCTAATGCCTCGATAACAACACCTCTATCGGACTTTGCCAGGAGCCTCAGCAACCTGGTTTCATGGCCCTTTGACGTCACTGCCTTCACTCATGTCTTTGTTTTTGCCCTTTGTTTTGTCTGAATGTTGCCATTTNCCCTAATGTGTCCTTTCCTCTTTTTTGTTTTAGGTGGAGTACTCCCTATTTAACCCAGAAAAGGATTATTTTAGTTTATTAGTAATAGAAATTGTGGAGTACGCACTATTTAGATCAATATTATACAGTCCAGAAATGGAATCAGAATTAGAATTAGAATTAGAATAACTACGAACTTAGAATCCAGAAATACTTAACAGGAACAGTCACTACTTAATTACTTCTATATTACTACTTTTTATAAACTAACTACTCACTTTACACCAGAAAAGGATTTAGATTCGGCGTTTTGGTTCTTTTTTTTCTTTTTGTTCTTTTTCTTTCCTTTGGTTTGTTATTTTGTATGTATTTCCTTTTAATTCATGTAAAGCACTTTGAATTGCCTTGTTGCTGAAAATGTGCTATATAAATAAAATTACTTTACCTAACTTTGTTTTCAGTTTAGACATAAGTGATATCTTTCAGCCAATACCTCAGTGGCCGTTTTTATAACAGGTGAGATGACTCTCTCTGTCAAGGACGGCACAGCCTGTTGAGCACCTCAAGCACTTGAAAAAATAGTAACACTCACAGAGGAGCCTTTAGATACTGCCAAATCAGAATTATATATTTTTTTAAATACAAATGTTATATGAATGCCCTAAAAATAAATATTGTCTGTCTGGGACATACTGTGATTGCTGTGCTGTAATAGGACCATATGGAAGAGGAGTAACAAGTGATAGATTTTGTCATTTCAGACTCAAGGTGACATTTCCATTATGAACATTCAACACCAGACTTGTACATGGCCAGTTGTATGGCTGTTTGTCCAGCAGTTCTTATGTTGGCCTCAAAGGTCAAACCAAAACTGCCTTGCAGTGGCGGTTTCTGATATGGACAACCGCCCAGGGCCACATCTTGTGAGAGACATCATGAGTGCCCCACTCGCTCCCAGAGTGCCCCACCCTCCCCGCCGGTGTCAAATCCCCCAACCCGTCTCACAACTGGAAGATCTAAATGTCAACAGATCCTAATACATCATTACACCAACACTCAGCCCACTTCCCCAGCCCACAACTTCGGTCCCAGCCTGAATTTGTGCAGCTTTCACACTAGAAGTTGGTCAGACAAATTTTGAAAAGTGCAGTGTACAAAAAAGTTCAGATGTATAATATCGTGCATACGCATGTGGCTGCACACTTTTCCTTTGCACATTTCAATTTGGGTGAAATAGAGTGCGGCTATTGGCATCGTGTGGACCGCCCTGTTACCTCCTACAAATATAAATCAGCATGAATACTAATAGGTGGTAAAATCTGGCACAAAAAAACTGATGTCTTGTATCCCCAGCTACCAAGACATAAAGGGATTTAAACCCAAGGGGGAAAACATTAACATTAAAGTAAGGGTCTTAACCAAAATGTATAGAGCACAACACACAAGAAAAAACTAAACACAAACAAACAAAAAGACTTAATGGACAGTTTCATGACCCAAATATATAAACAGAAAACACAACCTGACATGTTAGTAAAAATGGGACGGGGAGGTAGACATGGAGCAACATGGAAATAGAGCTTTTCTAACATTATCTTGTTTTCACAGGTGACAATTAATGGAGTCTTTCTTTTATGTCTTATCATGTCTGTATCAGAAAGAGAAACATTTATGCTGAGGAGGGGTGTTGTTTTCGCCCCTCCTCAACAACAAATTTTCCCTCCTCATGTCACCCGTCTCATGTCACTTTCACACCATGACTGCTTTAAAGCATGTGTGACAGGGGGCTCCTCTAGTGGGCAAACCTCCAAAAGCACCATTTCAAGGTGTCATGTGGCGTCACTGGCTGAGTAAATTAATCCTGACAATCAGTTGCCAGGCTTTAATTGAGGTTCTCTGATGTTTAAGTAGACTGCCATTTTGTCTGTAGAAGGCTTTTATTGATTGTTGCTTCATTACGTTTATATCCTAAATGCATTGTTTAATAGATACTCAGAGAATAGTGCAGTAAAAGCAAAGCAATATGTAAAACTTGAAAACTACGTTTTATCAATCAATCAATCAATCAATCAAATTTTATTTGTATANACCGGACTATAAGCCGCATGGTTTGAAGCTAGGAAAAAAGTAGCAGCTTATAGTCCGGAAAATACGGTACATGAAAAAGAATCTACATGCTCTTGTGTATTGTTCATGTATTGTTCAGGGGGCCAGACCAAATGTGGAAGTGGGCCGTAGTTTGGGGACTACTGCTCAACAGGGTTTCGCTCAGTACATTGCAAGCCTGGTGGGCTACCAGGATCTACTTGCCCCCCTGCCAGGCTAAGCATTGTTTGTTTTTGAACAGAGAAGAAAATCAAACCGGACTGCAAGGATCTCTTTTGCACTGAACATTTAACTCGTAAGGCAGAATCTTTCCTGTAAGATGGATTTGTAGTTGGTGCATTGAACAGGGCATGAAGCTGTGAGGGTGCACCAACCACTGTGTTCCCAGTTGGCCAGTGCATCAGTGGACCAATGAAGGAAATGCCCCACTTGCCTCGTAGTCACGCAGCATGCTGGTTTTATTTTAGTTTTTGAGGTGACACGATGCATCAAACTGCACCATATAAAATGCTTTGTCTACTTACAGTGAGGCAAAGTTGCTGCGATCAGGAAAACCTGTTCCATATACATAGGCAACCAAAACAGTTTATGTGGCGTTTATTAAAAACTATATAGACACGAAATGGAAGAGCTACTAAAGCCACATAAATTAAATCTCCGCTTGTGACCCTCTTTATCCAGCAGAGAGATGTGCAGTGCAGTGGTTGTAGCTCATCATGCAGAGCCAGTGCAAGGTGGTATGAAGTCTTGAACAGAATTTGATTTCAGGATCCCCTTTGCTGCTAAGAACATCAGCACCACTAACATTTCAACATGGATTTAGTCAATTCTGAGAGAGGGGCCCTGGTTTAAATGGCCAACCTTAAAAACAATGAGTAATAATTTTAGCTCACTGAGATGTAAAATCTTAAATTTTAATGTTAAAGGGAACCATGATTAGTTGAACATGTTGTAATTTTCCTATTAACTAAAAAACTGCTGTTTGTGATACGCCAAAGCTCATAATTACTTCAAAAAATTTATATATATTTGTTATATTTTTCACCCCTGAAGGTCACCTTAAGGTGAAAAAAAAACGAGTGATTGTTTATCATATTACGTTTGCCTGGTGTAATTTTAAATAATGCCACACTGCGTGGCTGTAATAACAAAACAAACAAACAAACAAAAAGCAGTGAGGTGAGTCTGAATCGCTTCCCACATGGGAAAAAAAAAATAAAAGAGTGCAGTGAGAGAGAGCTGAACATAACTTTAGAGGGACCTATTTGTGCATTTCTCTTTAAAAGTCCTTCCTGCAAGCAAAACTGACAAAGGCATTAACAGGTGACCGTTACCTTCACAAGCTAAAAACAAATGCTGGCAGTTCTTATCCACAAAGCGCCTAGGCCCCGCTGCCGTTGGCTAATGAGCAAAAGATGCTTTTTAAAATGATGATGGCATTATTGCCACTGGTGCTGGTGTTCTGAATGTGAAACCACGGATCGATACCGGACATTAGACAGGATTCTAAACAGCTGCCACCAGACCAGACACAGAGCTACAGACACTAGGAGAAACATCAGAGATAAGCAGCACTGGGAGCTCTTTTAAATGATAATGGAGCTAATGCTACTGCCACACAGAGATATAGAACTACTTACCGGATCACACACTCCAACCAGAGGTATATGTCTCTCAGTGTTTCATTCATGAAGCTGAAGGCAGCAGCATCAAAACACCAGCTCTTACAG